CTATCCGTATTATTTTTATTAATATTATAAATGTGAAATTTTGTATGTATGGATGTTTGTTACTCTTTCACATCAAAACGACTGAACGGGTCTGGATGAAATTTGGCACAGCGATAGATAATAGTGCACGTAGACTTTTTATCCCATAAAAAAACTATTTTGTTTTTCTAGGGGTGAACCCGAGAGCGAAGTGAGGGTGAGCCGCTAATACTGTACATATAATGCTTTGTATTTTTTTTACATTACCTCTTTTCCCCTTGAAAGGAGATAGCATTATTACCTTATTTTTTTTCTTTATAATAATAAAATCTGATGGCTATTTTTATTTATTTACATTTATTTACTTATCATTTGGTATACGAATCATCATTTGTATATTAAATATTTTAAAATGTTATTGTTTGGCTTCATGTTTAGTTCTATGACACTCATTGTCAGTCTATATTATACCTTAGTGTGAGGTTACACAATAGATTCCATTTTTAAATACATACTTGAATATTAAACCCCAACGCTCATTTTACATATAATAGTCAAATCAATAAATTCCTTTTCAGCATAAAATATAACATTTGTTTGTTAAACATTTTGATAGCGTCAGCCTGGAAGTCAGTTGTTTTTGTTAGTTTTACAAAGACCAGTTAAAATGTCTATTGATACAAGTATCTATATTAAGTAATTGCCTTTATTTTTTGGGGAAACTTATTCAATCAAATTCCAAAAAGGAGGAGGTTTTATGTCTGTATGTTTTTTTAATTTTCATTTTCTTTTATTGAACTTCCTTTTTTAGTTAATTTGTTAACCTTTAACTGATTTAATCATATTTAACACTAGTGACTCACTCTTGCTTTGATCGGAAGAAAATTTAGGTGACTTTTACCATACTGTTATATTTATTGCTTTATTTTAAACCGTTAGCACACCGATAAATCAACTCAAAAGCCAGTTATTTTCCAACTTCAATAAAAGTTATTATGATTTCTGACAGTAAACATATTTTATCGGAATAAAAAATAGCCTATAGCACTCGGCGGCAATATGAAAAAAAACTAGCTAAACTAGTCTTCTATTAAAGATTTAAAAAAATTCCAAATCACTTTTGTTGTTGTTTCGGACATTACCTCATAGTTCCTACATCCTTTAGAAACTTTTCCTCTATATACTTTACTAGTATAAAATAAAATAGCTTAATAACCTGCGAGTATATCATTATTATATACCTTCTAGCATTATTTGATATATTTATTTGACAAAAAAGTCCCTTATCAAACTTCCGATTCAGGCGTGACTCCCCGATCTGATATATATATAGATTAATAATAAACTCAAAAGTCTGCTTGTTTGTCTTTCTTTCACGCCACAACTTTTTTGCACGTAGATAGTTCTTGAGCCGAAGAAAGACAGGCTTCATAATATATAACTTATTTAGTTGAAATTGTATTACGTAATATACACAAAAAAACATTCATTTGAATCAAACACCTCTTCCTTTTTGCAGTCGGTCAATAAAAATAACATTTTTTCAGTAACCTTTTTTTTAGGGTCCACAGTACCCTGCCGTCCTTCAAATTACAGGGGACTGTGAGAATTCTACCCACTAAAATAAAGAGCGGAATTCGTCGCTGCAGTGCAATGGGGCGTTGCAAGATCGCTTGTATACACTACAACACCCCTGCATCTTTTCAGTAAACTGCCACATCAACATTATTTGATACATTGTTACACACATTAGTTCCTTCCTTATGAGATGTGATAATTCAATTTCCACGTACATACAGGTGAAGAAAGTCTTGACTTACGTCAAACGGACTTATAATGTTATCATTACTTTCTCCATTAAGCACGCGAACTCGAGAGCGGTCGATGTTTTACAATTAAATGGCTTTACAATCATCGGCGGCTAAATTATAGAGACTTCTTTTAAACTCCTTCTTTTGAAGTCTAACTATTATTCCTAAAGGAGGAACAAACCCTGATCTTACTTTAACTCTTTATGATGTTTTCATTTTATTCGTCGTCAGAAGTGCGTGCGTTAAATGTGATATTATTGTGATTGGCTCATGCCTAAATAAATAGTTTACAAACGAATTTAATTCATGGAATTTGAACCGCTGTTGAGTTATATAATATAGGTGTTATAGGTATTAATTTTCTACATCGACAAATCTATTTGTATCAATAACTTATTTTGTTAGTATAGGTTCGCTATTAAAAAAATCTGTTAAAACTATTTAAATGTGTTACAAAACAAACTTCCTTATAAAATTAATTTTGTTTATTTATTACAAAATAAAACACATTAATCTGATGAATAAATCATCATATCGAAGTATTACACAATGTCAGATGGTAAAATTTTATTATTTTAAAAATCAGACTAAAATCTGCCACGTATGAATGTCAAATTGACGAGAAACGTTCAAAATGAGTGTCTGACACGATAACATTGCAGGAGCGTTTTATTGCATATTCACTCAATTGTTAATTAAAAACTCAGTAATCCGGTAATATGACTGAAGTGGTTTTCCGGTCATGATAAAATCGTATCATTAAAATTTGAACAAAAAATTATTTTCAAGGACTTTCTTTTTGTTTTCAAGGTTTCAGATGATTCTCAGCAAACATTCATTCAGTCATGTGAGAAGGACAACAGTCTTTCTCTTGACTAAGTGAACGTTTAGCTGCTGTAAAGCATTGGAAATATCGGGAAAAAAACCATATTATAACCGCATGAGCTCTGCAAAATATTTTTGTTTAAAATATTAAATATTCGTGCAAATCTAAAAAAGTGTTATTTTAATCACCAGTTTCGTGGCTAATAAATGAAATAATAAAATTGTAACGAGATTTATATTCATTGTTTGTATGTTAAAAATAATGATGACTTTATAATGTTTGGGAAACAAGAAATCCGAGTTATTGTTTTTGCTAAGATTATAAACTTCAATATTACAAACTTAAAACATAAGTTATCACTTTGATTGATTAATTTATTTTTAAGATACGTACTTTGCTTAGTATGCTATGCTAGAGCTTCCTGCGCTGTGTTCGAACATAAAAAACTTAAAAAAAAACGACTTCCAAGCACTAAAACGTGAAAAAAAACCTTTTGAAACAAAAATGAACATACATAAAAAAAGATTTCGACGAATTGAGAACTTCCTCCTTTTTTGAAGTCAGTTGAAAAGCAAAGTGTAATTTTCTTTCACGTATACGCACGTGAAGCTGAAAACAATAGCTAGTAATTAGAAAGACTGATCCTTCTAGTATTGAACGGAAGCCCACTCCCAGCTGTGGGACAATAATAAGGACTTTACACTACAAGTACTATGCCCGTGAACCAAATCCGTGCCTACCTGCGCATACGCAACTACTGAGCGCGACGACGTCTCTATTATGTTTCACTGGAGCGCAAATTGAAGGTTACATACGTTTATTTCTAATTTACTCAAAAATGATTTATTCTTCTAGAATATTTACAATTTACATAATGAAAATTGATAAATAGTTCATAATTATTTTAAACTAGTTCAAGTAAATATTTGAAACGAGCCTATTGTTATTTGTTATCTATACACATAATATAAATTTTTTTATACATATAAATTAAATATTTTTTGGCGATTTTTATTGAAATAGTCATTATTATCGATACAGAGTCAGAATCTATAGTTTTTAGAATGTTTGTCTGAGTGTCTTAGAACGCATCACGAGAAAACCCCTGGACAGATTTAAATGAAAATTGGTATAATGATAGCTGCGTAGATTATCTAAGGATCTATCTAAGGAGCTATCTAAGGATAGCTGGTTATACGGGTTAACATATAGAATACTTTTTACTGCGGGAAAATATTTCATCTCTGAGAAATCTATACTATGGTGAGTCGCTAGTAATCTATATTAATTCTTCGGTTGTTAATTTCAACCAATCATTTTACTGAATCAAGTCAGAGAAATAACATAATAACTTTATTCTCAGATTTTGGACCGATTTCAAAAAGAAGGGGTACTCAATGCAACTGTTTCTTACGCCTATTAGAAAAATCATTTACTTAGGTATCTAATTTTGGAGCAAAACCTTTCTTAGAAATATTTTTGTTACATTTTTAAAATCAACTTTAATACACTAGGCATACGTATGATATTAAAAATCCCTACTCATCGAAAACATAACATATCACTCATAAAGATAACAAAGTTTGTTTGTATGTAATTAATAAGACTAATTGGGGTTGCAAAGTTTACGCAACCTTTACAATTTACATGTTAGTTTTAAAATAATGTTTGTAAACCTTATCGCAACAAGAAGAGATCGTAAAGTCACTCATGCGAACTTAGCCTTATAATCGTTTCTAATAACTTGCTTTCTGATTAATATTTCTTGTTTACCTTTCGAATACGAAGATTGGCACCTACTTTGTGTAGAAATTAAGGCGACATTCTACAAACTTTTAATATTACAATACATATTTTTGTTTTAAATAATCTTATTAGCTGTTTTCAGATTTTAAATCATTTTTGTTAATATTTGATACGTAGTATTTTATAATATACTTACATATATTAAAAAATAATAACATAATACTAAAGCCGCTACTATCACTTATATAAATATAAAAATATGCTATATAATTTGTCTGTATATTTTTTTCCACACTAATAACTTTATTATTTTAGATGATGCCATCAATATCTTTCTCATGTTTTACCTTCGCGGAAATAATATTATATATACATAAGTAAGTTTATAAAAACAATAACACGAAAACATTAAAAAACTTTCCCACCATAACATACGTAGATATTTCATAATATACATACTAATTATTAATAACTAATTATATCATTCGGAATACAGTAATTAACCGTAGCACAAAGTTGGCTTTCAAACAACAACACGCCAGCCGCAACCTTGAGACTTAAAACCACGACAAAAATCACAAAAACAAAAATAAAAGTATCACAAGACGTCATAAAAAGAAAAACTTTCGCCGACTTACTTCAAGTTAGTTTCGACGGTGGCCGACATAGCTACGTGTGTAACGCGACGCGATACTTTGCTCACTGAGAGTCTTCTGTTCCACCGACTGCAGTCTGCAGTATACCGATGGAAATAGAGAGCTGCTAATACCGCCTTGATAAGCGTTTAATGTTTTTATGAAATATTTTTGTTGGTCTCACACATTTTCTTGGTTATGCAATGAAATTACAGTTATTTAGTTGTATAGTGTTGAATTGAATTATGATGATAGAGGAAAGAATCTTCCCTGAAGCCGGTTTTTAGACTACTAAATGTTTTATTTATTTAGTTATACCTATGCAACGCACACGGACTGGTGCGGAAATTGCGACTATTGTTAAACGAAGCAAAAATCACTGGATTCGCCTTTTAAAAAGGAACATCTTTACAATTTATAGTACTACTAGCAGCCGAGCACGCCTGGCTGTGGCACACTTATATTTTTTTTCTTTCGCTTGAGGGTAGAATTTGTAGCTTAAGGTAGCCGTTCTCCGGATATGAAAATCTTTAACTTTACGATAAAAAAATAATAATCGGGATAAAAATTACCTTATCTTTTAAATTGAAATAAATCACACATAAAAAAAATACGTTAAGATCGGAGAAGTAGTTTCGGAGTTCATCGCGGATCAACTACAATCAAAATTAAACATCAATTACAAACAAAATTGAAAATAAATTATTTCTATATCTCTACGAAACTAAATACTAAAAGCCAGTCAAAGCTACACAAGAAATTCAAAGTAAGGTTATATTGTTCATTAATCAGAGAATAACTAACAACTCTTACAAGTGTTTTATCGTCTCTACCGGAGGCTTAAACAAGAGTCGGCGCGGCCGTGAGAAGACCGTCGTGTTTACCATCTAGATACTTACTTCGTTTACTGTGTATAATATTGGGTTAAGTCGTTGCAAATACGGTTAAGGGAGTAATTAAAAAAATAACAACTTTTTTTATGATTTTCTCAAAATTATTATGTATAGGTAATTATTGTGTATTGGGTACAGGCTTTACGTCATTTTCACGACAATTTTCGGAATTAAAAAAAATATCTTTTTTTAAAAATATCTTTTATTTTAAGTTTTTGTAAATATATTGAAATTATATAAAAAATGCTTAAATTAAAATTAACAAATATTGTAAGGTATTTTGGTGTCATTTTTGTATTTTTTCAATCATTGTATAATTTTTTGGGTAACTGCTGTTTGTACTCTGTGACAACTATAATATAATGACTTTAGAGATGTCTCCTCAGTGACTTCCGTAATCACTGATCATGATTGCTGTAAAGCATTTGAAACTTCGGGAACCAAGAATGAAAATAAATCCGCATAAAAATCCGGAAAGATAGTTTTATTTAAAATATCAAACATTCGCGTAAATCTATGAAAATTGTATAATTTTCGGAATTGTCAGAGCAATAAATTAAGTCGCAACTACGAAAAAAAACATAACTATTTATTAGAGGAAAAAAATACGTATATTTTAAATTATTTCTCGCTTTAATTATATTTTATTATTAATTAAAGCGAAATATTTATCCGCTTTTATTATATTAGTTACATAATAAAGAAATATTCACACGTTAAAATTTACAAATTAGTTTCAGAATAAATATCAACATTCCTTGGAAGCTATGTAATAAATTAAGAATTCTTTAAACAATAAAATATGCATAGATTATATCGACATCGCACTTGGTTCGTCTGATTGTTCAAACATTAGATATTTATCCCACAACTAAATAATAGTCAAAAATGAAACACGACACAAAAGTAATGAAAAAAATACTCATTTGCATATATCTATGTAATTCATTTAGTTGTAATATTTTTTAATATTATATGTACTTAATCTTATGAGTAATTTATATCTGATGATTATATAATCACGTATAAGGGAAGTCTTATAATATTAAATGAGCAGGTCTTGTATATACAAATATTATGTTTCGTGTATCTCGAAAACGGCTCTAGCTTTGGATCAAATTTTGTATTTAGATAAGGTTTTGTTTTTTAAGTTTATCTATATTTATGTCTCTGAAAAAAAATTGCACAAAAATCTTTATTTTTATAACTGATTATAATTAGAGCCCTTTTCTTATATACTATCATACAGACAATATCATATAGCGCCATCTCGTAACTGTTTGTGGTACTTGTATTGTCGCCAATGGATGATAAACTACTGTACGAGCGCCGCGCCTCGGCTCTGTCGCTTAGGTATTGGACATTATAAAGCAAACAATAATGTCCTTCGGGCCAATTTCGGTTACAGAAGCTAACTTCACTGAAATTAGCCATATAGGTAGGAGATATTAAGGTACACGATTCACGAACGTTGGAACTTGTATATAATCGTACGACGCGCTTTACTTCGGTGGTCACTGGTCGGTAATGTGACACCGCCAAGAGCGATCAGATTAGCAGCTGATATCGTTACATGTTTTAAATGCTCGGGTAAGAAGATATTATGAATGTACTTTTAAATGATACTGAGAAAAGGATACTTACATAAGCATTACATTTGTTTTAAGAAAGCCAGCTAAATGTTATGGTTCGTGCAGTGAGACACGTACTGCACTCCTCTGCTTTCTTGGATCAGATGGATAACATTATACACTAGCACCAGTAGGTAGATATTAAGGCCTGCAATAAAAAATATTTTTTTAGATAAAATATTAAGATATTTTTATTAATAATATAAATGTGAAAGTGAGTTTTTTCATATGTCCGTCTTCACTTAACATTACTATTATAAATACGAATGTTGGTACTTGGTACGTATTCATACGGACGAACGAAGTAAACAAACGGACGACTAGACGAATTTTGATGTAATTTAATACAAAGATAGACTATGAACTGAAGTAGCATATAGACTGCTGTTAGTAATAACCGGGAATAGGTTGCACCGCCCCTGTATCTAACTAATATTATAAATGTGAAAGTTTAGCTGTTTGGATGTTTGTTACTCAATCACGCCAGAACGGCTGAACGGATTTGAAAGAAGTTTGGCACAGAGATAGATTATAGTCTGAAATAGCACAAAGGGCTACTTTTTATCACGGAAAAATGTAAGGTTCCTGGGGATATTATAAAAAAAGGCACCTAGGGACCCGGGCGAAGCAAGGGTATGTCGCTAGTTTACCTATAAAACAGTGTATAGAAATGGTTTTGTATGCGGATTGCGGATAGTCTACTTTTTATCCAGCTACTGAGAAATTAGTCCGTGGCAATATGTTAATTGCAAAAGGAATAAATGGGTCAAGACTCAAGACATTAATTAACTGCTTTTAATACAAAGATTACCTGATGCAATGTTATTGTGTCTTTTAAAGTCAGTCATTGGAATATCTTGGAAAGTATTTATTTGGGTCATACATATCATATGTAAACTAAAATGTAAAACATAAAACCTACAGATATATATACAATGTGTTTCGTATTAATCAAATAAAAGTAAAGATCAACAATCCAGTGAATTGAGCAGAAATGAAGAAGAATTGATGACTTTAGGATGGTAATGTTTTTTTATATGCATTCCGACAAAATGTTATAAATACAGCAAGAATCGAGATTAGTTATTAGTATACTTAGTATGTTCTTACCCAAACAAGTAAAATATACAATATTCTCGATATATTCTCTAAAGTCGAAGTACACGAGGTCCACGCATAGCGTGAGCACTTGGAACAGCACGCCGCAGTAGAAATAAACTCGTAGTAAAGATCGATGTCTCTAAAACAATATATACTATATTTAAAATTGCAGCATGAAACCTGCTTTTCCTTCATCTTTTATTTACTAATAAATAAAATAATTGTCTGTGTCCTGTGATTATAAAAATAGTGTTGTAAAATTTGTTGTGTGTGTTTATTCGTGCCTGCTAATCTACGGACAGCCGAACCTATTTTATATGTGCCTTTCAGTAGCGAATAATAGATACGAGTATGTCATAAACCGTTTTTTTTTAATCTGGGAAAGAAAAATGTTCCCATGAGAAATATAATAGAAGGAAAACGATTAAACACAATGAAATTATTAAGATTCAGGCACATTTTATTATGAAGAAAACCGGTTTCTATAAAGGCTAATGTTCGCTCGCTTGTATTGCTTCAGAAACAAAACTTTAATTTCCAATAATAATTAAGATCAAAAAGAACTACCACTTCCACTACAAAAACAATTCATTTAACGATATTGCTAAATTCATCATACACACTATTATCAGTATATTCTAACTATATGTAGTGACAACACTATTCCACGTAGACATGACATGTACATACACTGTACAGTAATAATTGAGTGTATATAATTTTATTTTATATATATATGTATATAATTAAATATATTTGTAATTTCTTACAACAAGTGACAACAGAGACCATCTCAGTTTACCTTATGAGCCCCAATTAACAAAATGATGGTCATGATCACATCTACTATTAGAAATGTAATTGTCAGTGGGAGGTGTATAATACTGGTCCTAAAGATGCCATCGTCTTCTTCTTCTTTTGCTTTCTTTCCTGTCGTCAATTCTTCGACGAGAAGAAACACAAGGAATGGGAACAGTAAGAGACTGAAAACCTAGAAATAGGGCACAATTTGTTTATTATAAACTAGAGATAATTCATACTATTTATATACTACTAAATACTAATTAGATCTAGTTTGTAGTTTTGTTAGTAGATTAAGTAAAATTTCTTTATCGATTTCCCCATGTCCCGCGGCACATAAAGACAATTAGGTATGTTTTCCTCTTTTGGTTGAGCTTTCAAGGAAAACGAGGTGGCGAGGAAAACATAATCTAAAATGTTAGAAGTAAATTCTCCTTCTTCTCCTAAAGCTAGTTTACTTGATCAACTTATTATACACTTACTATACGTATAAGACAAAAAAATACCAGCAATATAGACTAATCCTCTAAGTCTATGCTATATAATATTATAAATGTAAAAGTGTGTTTGTATGTTTGTCCGTCTTTTACGTCTAAACAGAATAACGTGACATACTTTTTACCCCGGGAAAGTATCTCTTTTCCACGGGAAAACACGTTATGATACAACCCACAACAACTCATCATACCTATGTATTTATGTACATATACAAATATATAGTCTATCTAATCCACACTAATCGTTTAAAAATATAATTGTTAATTAAAATTAAATATGTATGCTTACTCATATAATGTTTCGATAGCTGCTTACAAAAGTTATGACTTAAAGACCATAAAATTATATAAAGATATCAGGCATTGCGAGTAAAAAATTTAAATCGCTTATTTAATTTTAATTATTGTACGTTGAAATATTATTATGAAAAACGTAGTTGAGTTAATTAGTAGGTATATATTAACTATGAATCACTACAATTAATTCTTATCGCCATATTTAATCGTTAACAACCACAGTTTATTGAAAATAAAATACTTTTCCGCACAGGGTCCGAAATCTGCTTAGCACTTTGTATTAGACAAAAGAAGTAGATGATCCATATTTTATATACAACGTGTTCGTTTCAACACAAAATTACTTGTTTCTCAATACAAATACGAACTTATTTATACGGTCTATATATGAATATTGTAGAGATTTAACTTTTTAGGTCTTCGCCACGTAGTCAATATCCTAATAGACAAGTATGAGCCTAATTATTTTATTTTTTAACTGTCTGTTTGCAAATGCAAATTACATGAAAACTAGGTGGGGTGGGGGGTTGGTCTTGGCATGTACTACGGGTGGTCACCGAGAGCGGGGTCTTTTCCTTTAACGGAAGCTTTTTACCCATTTTTTTTTATTCATACTTAAGTAGTTTAAGTAGCATTAATCTGTAAACGTGTCACCCCATTTGGAGATTAGACACTCGTGTAAATAAACAGTTTCTTATTTGTATAACAATTTATGTTCTGTGATTGTTATGGTTATATTCTGCGAATAATTCTATAAATACTCGTATCATAAATATAATAAAGATTTAAGAATAGTAAATATTTACATGTCGAGACAAATTGTTCTTTGGATGATACGAGTGTTTTAAATCTTAAAGATAAAACAATATAACGTTAGTGTTCTAAACAAGCGCAAGAGGAAAAGGTTATCAGTTAATTATGATCTGAAAATTACACTAGAAACGCCGTCTATTACTCTCAGCACACGACCTGATAGTCCTTGATAGACTCGACCCGATTCTAGTACCTTTTCTTTCCATAGAATAATCTATAGATACTAATATTACAAAGAGGAAAGATTTTTTGTTTGTTTGTACCGACCGAATAAGCTCCGAAACTACAGATCTGATTTAGATGAAATTTGATAATAAGATAGTTGTATACCCTGGGAAGGACATAGTTTTCATCCCGGAAATCATCCCTTAAGGGGATGAAATTGGGGATGAAAGTTTATATGTGGGAGCAACTTAAATAGTCTTCGAATGCCTGTACAATATAAATAATATACTATGTATATTTACTATTTTGCCGTTTCTAACGTCCCACAGGTGGGCACGGACTTTAAGAGGGGGATCCGGCTATAGTACACCACGCTGATCAAGTACGGCCTTTCAGATTTTACCTAAGATTATTTATATGATAATCTAAGGATTTTACATAACTTTCGTAAACTTTCTAAATTCTTTACACAGACGCAGATTTCGTCATGAAGCTTTTCTTTGGCAAGTGGTTATCATATTGAAAATGGTTCGGACATCATAAGGCAGTGATAGCCTGAAGGCAGTGGTAGCCCAGTGGTAACGCGCTCGCTTGAGAAACCGAGTGAAGCGGGTTCAAATCCCGAGTCTCGCACCTCTTATATTTTCATGTGCGAATCATTTCCAACATGATTACCGCTTGTCTTACGGTGAATGAAAACATCGTGAGGAAACATGCATGTCTGAGAAAACCTAGCAAGTTTTGAAAAGACATGTGAAGTCCGCCAACCCGCACTTGGCCAGCGTGGTGGACTATGGCCTGATTCCCCTCGTACTGAAGGGAGGCCCACCTCCAGCAGTGGGACGATAAAAAAAGGGCTGATTACAATATGTACTTACAACGTATTAGAAGTGTATCAAGTATCTGGTATCCATAATACAAGCCTGGATGCATGGAAGCATGGAACTAGATGATGCTGAGTGTTAATGTCCCAACATATTTATTTACTAGCGATTCACCCTCGCTTCGTTCGGATTCGTCCCTAGGTACGTTTTAATTGTTTTGAGCGGAACCCTAATTCTTTTTCTAAAATAAAAGTAGCCTATGTTACTCCCTACAACATCAGCTAACTTCCAGTGAAAGTCCCGTCAAAATCAGTCCAGTCGTTTCAGAGATTATCCGGAACAACAACAACAACAGACAGACATACAAAAAATTAAAAAAATGTGTTTTTCTCATAAGTACTGTATATAATTTCATATTAATTTAGTACGACGCTGTTATTTTAACATTACAAACAGACACTTCAATTTTATTAATCTGTATAGAAGATGTTTTAGATTTTTATTATCAGTACCCTAAGCCGATTTCTTTTAAAAATGTAATGATTCATCTTTAAATGAACCTCATTAACTATTAAACACTAAGTCATTACCTATCTAGCTAATTAATTAGTACATCTACTTCTAAAATAGCGCCTACGCCAAAAGTAATGCAATATCGCGAAAGCAAAGCACTAGATAATAGATACCTATACTATAATAAAACAGTAGAGGTCGAATGTCTGTAAATAGCAAAAAAATGCTAAAAACCGAATCAGGGGGATGTAAGAAGACAAATAGAACAAATTCAGATTTTTTTCAAATTTTTTGTTTCTCTGTCTGTTTGTCTGTTTTTACGGGCTAATCTCCGAATCTATTGGACCGATTTAAATGAAATTTTACATGGTAGTACCTTATATCCCCGGGAAACACGTAAGATATTTTTCATTCCGGAAAATTGAAGAGTTCCCGTGGGATAGTTAAAAAACTATAGTAACTTATACAGCTTAGTACACAACAACTTATGCACCTAATTTAGTAAAATTTAACATTCTGATACTTTATATTGCCGGTCAAACAACAGGTTACTTTTCATGCCGGAAAAATGAACGGTTCCCGTGGGAACTAATAGATCTCTATTAGTGTTTTTCTAGAGGCGAACCCGAGCGAAGCGAGGGTGAGCGGCTAGTATTTAATATTAGTAGTACCTACCTTCACAAATTACTTTAGATAACTCACCAGATTTACATATCCAAAAATAATAACCCCTTTCCTCAAAGGCACACAAAAGCAGCACTTTCTCATGACAGGTAATTTTAGAGCAAAATTACACTTCATACTAAATTAGATGATTTCGGTGGAATTTGGTATTTTAAATTCAATTTCTTGACGCGGACATGTTTTAACAGACGCTAAATAACACTGAATACGTTTTAACATCCTTTGTAGACCTCCCTTGGGATTAATAGGATGCTTCCTTCATACTACTTCTTGGGAAGATCTTTGAAAATAATCATGATTTTGCTCTACATTGATCGTTCTAAATGTTAAAAAGAAAAATTTGACTTTTAAAACCTTCAATGGATTTAAATGAAATATTTTTTATGATTCTATAGCAATTAAAATACAGGGCTTACATTCAAAAGGATGCTGAGCAGTCGCTGTTATTGTGTAAATTACTCAATTATAATAAAACCAGAACTGGCCATCGACAACGTCTGGGATATTTTGTTAATTCAATAACAAATTTGAGACAAAATAATTGGTTGTTAAAATTTATCCGACCAACTCAAAAACTCAATAATAAAGTACAAATAATAAAGATAAGATAAAGAAATTATGGCAAAAAATTAACCGACTAGCACTAAAGAAGGGTAATATTTTTCGAATAGAATCTAGTTTTTGACACTTCGTATCCTGTATCCTGTATTCACTGTTTCGGTGTTTTAGTAGCTAGCAAGTACAGCTGCAGTTCCGAAGGTCTGAGTTCGATGCCGGGCCGGGTCAGACTTAACTAAACTTGGTCTGATCTCTTACCGGTCGTTTTGAATTGTCGAAGATTTTTTTAACGCTGCGAAAAACTACCTACCCTAGCGAAAATTTTGAAAAAAGTAAATGTTATAGAGTATAGTGAGAGTCATTTATAGAAAAAAAACGTGATACTGTCTCTTAAAATATGTGATTTTTTTTTTAATTTGTGATATTTCGAGATATGAATCACTGCTAAGATTTCAATGTATTTTATTTAATATGTCTTTGAAGTATCTAACGTTTGAAAAAATCACAAAAAAATTATGTTGTAAGAGATTTTTTTTTAATTTAATTAATTGTTCTATTCAAATCTAGTGCAGTGGGGCAATAACTTAGGGAAATGTTTCTCTTAAGAAGATGATTCCATAGTAAAAATATCAACCCAACTTTCCCGAGGGGCATCTGACCCATGCTTACCCTGATATACTCTTTAATCTTACACTCATTCGATGTCTGGTGATCACTAACATCTAAACTAGGCCGAGCCTGTATCTTGGATGTTAGTTTATTCCAGTGAAACAGAATGAATGCACATTTAATGTACTTTTAAAGTATTAGGCAAGATAAACTATTCATGCAAAAATTATAAGTTCTAGAAACGTTTAACTTTTATTTATTTTTTAATAGAGAAGAAAACTATTGTTTATAGTGTAAGACTTTTTATTAATATCGAGTACTTATAAAATATAATGAATCGTACAAAACTTGAACAGGTAACTGTCAAATTCTTACTATTCTAATTTGTCCTTTGAATATATGTCCTATGTACAACTCATATGTACAAATATTTATTGCAAGCTTACATAAGTCACATATTATATACAATCGCTATATATAGTAGAAGACAAAAGAAATGCGGAGATAATATAAAATGAAATTTAGCTTTAAACTTTTACAAGAACTTTTAAATCGCCATTTGATTTAAAGATAGTTATTGCAGTCTATTTGTGAGGGAGGTACCACCAGCTCGGAAAGCAGATCTGCTGAAGAAGAGTTTAAGAGAAACCCAACAGTAGCTATTTAAATGAAGTAGTAGCTATCCTGCATACGAATCAATTTATTTTAGTTTCAAACATTTTCACTCACAAGAAAATATAAGCTATAGTATATTTGGTAACATATTTTTAATTTTGTCTTTAAAATGTTATAAAAGAAAATCTAATACAGGCCCATGACAGATTTGTTCACTTAATGACATATTTAGAGACATTATTTTTAGAAAGTATTATGTCATTCCCAATTTTTTTCTATTTCCATTGTAGAAAGATTGTAGAAAGTCGCAATTCTCTAAGGGGCACGTATATTTATGTTATAATTTTTGCTGACTTCCAAAGAAAGGAGATTCTCGGCAACATGTTCTTCACGTGTACGTAACACAATATCTTCTCTGTCCGTTTGCCCCAAGGGCAGCAGTGAAAATAGCCAACATTTGCCGGCCACTTTTTAGTCTGTTTTAATTACTTTTACAAATATTTCACAATTAATAATGTAGATCTTCAGCATTCACGTAGTCCACCTTAGCCGATGGCAGGTCGGGCTCTGCCGCGTGGTTCACGAACTCAAAGTTCATGTTCCTCTTCAGCTTCACAACTTCACTCCGCACCAGAATTAACACGTACATTTGTATAACTGAAATTAAAGAACATTAAAAAATATTGTACACCCTTTTAATAAAACATCGACAGTAACAGTAAAGTCGCAGTACTATAGCATTTCTTTCAGTAAGTGAAAAACGCCGGAGACCTATCCCATCTATCCAATTCGGCAGGGGATCTTCAGAAAGGGACCCTTTTGCAGGTATCCCCCTAACACCCTCATTTTCCTTCACTCTTGTAGGTAATAATGCGACGCACTTGGTGTTGAAATTCCCGCTTATCATCGGGTAAGCTGTATAAAAGCATATTGTCACTTTCAAAGCTTAAAAAATATCTTACTTTGTTTCTATAGAAATTTGTTTTTATAGAAATCTAAACCTGTATGAGTCATATACAAGCGCGGATCCAGAGTGGGGGTCATAGGGGTTATGACCACCCCCCCCCCCAAAGTCAAATATATTTTTTAAGAACCTGAAGTTTGAGAATAGAAGGATTAATAGATTAATGTTGACCCGAGTAATAAGTTATTACTACACAAAATTTGGTTAAAAACGGTTCAGTACTTTTTGCGTGAATCCGCACAAACAAACAGACATGCACATAAAAAAATTGTTTGGGGTTCTATATTCTGTACACTATACGTTACACGTTTACAGTCATTGTTTGTACAGATTTTGCTAAGTTACTGTTTTATTATATGCATATTTCAGCCTATGACCCCCCCAAAATTAAACTCTGGATCCGTGCCTGATCATATAAACATTCATTCAAATATTACAGTTAGGTATGTACGAGTATTATAAGTAGTCTTGTATTGCTTTAATAAAACTTGAATGGCTACTTTATTCATAAACAAAAAAAAACGTGTTAAACGTGTTCGGGTTACTGACATCTTATTGGAAAGAATCATTAAGGAATCAATGTGCAGATTCGCTTTAAACAAAATACAAGATTACTAATAGCTGCTTGTTTGCTTTTGATTTGAAAGTGATTGGATAGTGTCTACGGCTTTTTATTATAATATCATAATATAATATCGAAGGTCGTGAATTCGAGTCATGCGCAATACAAATATTCATATTAGATTGGCCTGAGTTTATATCATTGTGCTAAGTGAGTAGCATGGACTCTCATCACAGGGTATTCGAGCTAAGATACACTAATGGCCTCTTAGTGTATATTCTGTTTTGTTTTGTTATTTATAGCCTTAAGCAGTAATAGAGTCTGCTATACACCCTCTTACCTATTATCCACATAAATATAGCCAACTGGAATAATCCAAAAATGAACGCGAACATAAAATAGGAGTCCGTGATCATAAGAGTCGTGGAGATAATAAAACCCAATATGTATATTATCAGACTAAATATACTGTATCTGTAGAAGAGCCTCATTTTCCTGTGTTCTTTCTGAAAATTAAACATGAATAATAAATAATTGATAACATTACATTGTTTTAAATCTGATAAATTAAAAAAAAACATAATGAATGACATGCGTGATTTGTCTTTTAACCGATATAAAAAAGGAGAAGGCTGTATTGGTATATATCTTCGCGTACATTTATCATAAAACAAAAACTAATGTTTATTGTACAATTTATAGGCTTTACTTCGATGTTCTCACTTTATTTGAAGAAGAAATTCTATAATTAATTTTAATCCCTCCACGACCGCGGACACGCCGGCGTGTCAGTTAACAATTGGTTTCTTAGAAATTTAATTAATTTCTTAGAAAATTACCCGCAGGTGTTAAGATTATTTTAAGGTCGAAGTTATTTTTGATTTCAAAATCGATTACTTGTAGACATAAACCACGCTAAATAAGAAAAGAGATGCGCAAAGCTCTAATTTATCTTTGGATATTAACATCATATACTCAAATTGAAACATTAGCAGAGTTCCATTGTTTTTGATTGAGACTAATAACTAGCGGCTTACCCTCGCTTTGCTCGGGTTCGCCTCTCGGTTTGGAAAAGCACAAATAGATCTATCCCACGGGAACCGTTCATTTTTCCGGGATAAAAAGTAACCTGTTATTTGATCGGCAATATTTTATGGCATATCAGCATGCCAAATTTTACTAAATTAGATGCATAAGTTGTTGTATACTAAGCTGTATAAGTTACTATAGTTTTTCAAGTATCCCACGGGAACTCTTTAATTTTCCGGAATGAAAAGTATTTAAAATGTTGACCCGTGATATAGTCCAACAGTTTCGGAGATTAGCCCGTACAAACAGACAAACAGACAGAGAAACAAAAAAAAAAGTCTGGATTTGTTCTATTTCTCTTCTCACATCCCCCTGACTCGGTTTTTAACATTTTTTTCTATGTACAGACATTCGACCTCTACAGTTTTATTATATGTATAGATATTGATAACCATAATAAACGAATTATTAGTCTAAATTTAGAATAATACAGAGATAGTATTATTCTAAATTTAGACATTTATACATACAAAGAACAAATGTCCCATGAAAACCAGTCTGGTAGCTTTGCGAAATAAATATTTACTAAACAACTTGGACCACTGTCGTAGGTGGTGATAATAAGTGTTATCAACTTGCGTGGTCACTACATGCCATTGCCATATATTTTTAGTTTTGTTTTAGCAGTATCGATGTAGTGTGTATATATATATATATATATATATATATATATATATATATATATATATATAATTCTTCTGTACGTGTGGTTGTTAACCTAGTCCTCCTAAAGGACTGAACCGATTTGGATGAAATTTTGTGTGTATATTTCAATGGGCTCCTGGATGGTTTGAAAGTACAAATGGACCCAGTAGGTGGCGCTGCAGTCTGTGTGCCACTGATCATCTCCTAAGCGGCAGGGACGATTTTAATGATTTTTTTCATAGAGTGTATGTTCGTGTGGGTCCCTGCAAGGTTTGACTTCACAAATGGGTCCAGTAGGTGGCGTTGCAGTCGGTGTGTCACTAAATTTTCATAAAAGACTCCATTTTCCGAGCAATAAATAAATTTAAATTGTTGGTTAAATAAAATAAGAATCGATGTGTGTATGTATGTTTCCTATGGACTCCAAAATAGCTGGAGCGATTTTGATGAAATTTTCAGGTAATCTTCAGATTAGCTCAGCGGGTGATCCTGAGAATTTTGTTAGCGATTGGAAGTATGGACGCGGGCCAAGCCACGAATACTGCTAGTATAATAAAGATAAATAAATAAATAAATATCGAAGATATTCTATCAGCTTACCTTGTGAGCACTTATTATAAATATTATATGAAATGTTATATCCGTGATAAGCAGACTCAAGACTGGTATTTGGAACATGAACATATGAGAAATGCTTATGTGACTATACCGGGAGCACTGGTCGATCAAGAGGTATAACAGCAACGAGAACAGTAGAGTGCAGGATATCTGTAACAGACATTGCATGTATAATAAATTTTAACTGAGTCGAATCTGTACATTATATATTTTTTGCTAAATCTTATTAAAATAGTCATTATTATCGATATACATGCCGAATCTATATATATTTTTAAAATTTTGTTGTAGAACTTGTAGGTTTGTCGGTCTGTCTGGAAACGCATCACGAGAAATCCAGTGGATAGATTTTGATGAAATTTTGTACGAAGAGAGCTGGTTATCCGGGTTAATATATAGGATACTTTTTATTGCGGGAAAATATCTCATCTCTGAGAAATCTATACTAAACGTTAAAACGTAATAAAGGTTTAATTAAAAAAAATGTGGATAAACTTTCGAATAGTCCGTCCATACGTCCGATTGATCTAAAATTTGGTACACATACATATGTAATAATGTATGTGTTTCGACGTGCTGATTATGAACATATCATTCAAAATACGGCGCATATTTTATTTTCAAGGTCAAATCTAGAAAAAATACTTTCAAACTTTTTCGCGTTTATCGTGATAAATATTGGTTGTACAGGAAAATATTCAATACAAAAATTGTAGGCCATGATGAAATTGACATTTTTTGCTTAATATTTTCTTAGTGTAGGCTTTAGAAGAGTGATCGTTATTTGAACGATTTTCCATTCCTTGATATGAACCCGCTTGCTACAAAAGCTTATGAAAGCTTTAGAAAATTTTGCTGTTTTGACAAACATAATATAAACAGTCTCCATACAAAGTTTCGTCACTCTCTTTCCATCTCAGTGTGTTTAATTTTGAAATAGATATATATTCAAAATACGTGATGTATTTATAACTAGCGACTCACCATCGCTTCGCTCGGGTTCGTCCCTATGTACGTTTTAATTTTTTTGAGCGGAACCCAATTCTTTTTCTAAAATCAAACTAGCCTATGTTACTCCCTGTAACATCAGCTATCTTCCAGTGAAAATGCCGTCAAAATCAGTCCGGCCGTTTCAGAGATTATCCGGAACAAACAGACAGACAAAATTAAAAAAAAAATGTCTTTTCTTAAAAGTAGCGTATATAATTTCATATGCATTTAGTAAAACGCTGTTATTCAGACATTACAAACAGACACTTTTCTTATATTTATCTGTATAGATACCAAATAGTATTAAAATAAAAAAAAAACTCTACACAGTAAGTAGGTGCTACATCCCGTACAACCTATAACCAAAAAAATATTATGCCCGCAAACTTTGTCTGCCTTTTTCACTGCTTTAGAGATTATAGGTTTTGAAGTTTCAAAATATTCTTTTGTTCTCTTTATGTCCTACAACAATTTTTGTGCATAGATTGGTATAGCTTTTTTTTTTTAACGTTGGGAAATGCATTTACGCACGACGTGTGGGACTCACCGGCGTAATACAGCCAGTACTACCCACTAAAACCCAACAAAACCTTCCCCCGTCTTAATGGAGCGTCGCAGGATCGCTTACGCATTCAACTACGACGCCCCGACGGCAGGTCTGCCGAAGCAGACCACCACAACCATGGGGTTGCTCCACAGTCCACTCTGCTATCAGAGAAGTACCAGGAGCAACCCGCATGGTACACCGCCCCCCAAAGAGGGCCACCTCCCACCGCCCACCGAAGTGGGCAACCTCCCTGTGCGTTTCTTAGCTTCGCGCCCGGTTGGATTGCCGGGCACTACTGAGCCCCCCCCACCACGACATAGATTGGTATAGCTACTCTAAGCCAATAATATAAATTTTATCAATAAATGATACTGGCTTTAACTATGGAGCTTACGAGAGCTTTAGTGATATCGATGAATTTTAACTATTTTTATTATAATATTATGCAATATTGTTTTATAATATCTAATTAGACTTGGATTTTGATCCCAACTTATACGCTATACTATAACGCTAGTTATATTATTTAGTAATAAGGGCAATTTACATCAAAATCTATTATGTAGGTACTACACGCATGAAGACTAAATTTTAATTTTTTTTGGGATATATCTTTCCCAAGACCAGCAGTGGATACTAGTTTAGCTTCTTGTAATAAATATATAAGCAATCAGACACTCAGACACACGAACCTTTACGAATACATAAGAATAATCATTATTTTTCTTAATGACGAGAAAATAGATAGGTAATATCAAAACAATTGTTACATAAGTAACAATAATGCATAAAGTATTGTGACACCAACTACGACGTTTGGCAAAACACTACAAAAACAAAGCATACCGTCTTTATATACGCCCAAACGAGCAAGCCCAGCCTCAGCGGGAGGCAGAAGCAGCATCTGGTGATCATCGGTAACTCGCACCTCATGTTTGATTCCTTATTTGAACAATTATTCACTAAACGGAAGTATTTATTTGGGCGTTGAATTTCACTTCATTTGGACGTTGATCTTCAAGTTATTTTTAGACGCTCGCAGTGAGTGAGTGCGACACTGAGCGACTCCGCGCGCGCTCTGACCCGTCTGCCGCGTGCGACTCTTGCAGAACTGGCTTTATATTTGTTATCATGTTGCGTCGTTTTTAAATACATCATACACATCTACGGAAGTTAGGATTTTCCCACTTCCTTCAAATGTAATCTGGAATGTTGTTGACTTGAAAAATATTGTGATTTTTATGTAATTACTAGCGACTCAACCTCGCTTCGCTCGGCTTCGTCCCTACTTTATGCATAAGATCATTACTTTATAACGGTTAAAATGGAATAAATGCTATTAATATGGAATATATGGTAAAATTAGTACTTTATATATATATATATATATATATATATATATATAACTTTTTATGTATGTTTATTTATATTAAGTTTTAATGACTTGCACTTTATGCACCGTTCCGCTCTTTTGATTACTTATTTTTTTGTATCCTTGTCTATCTGTTGCCAGTAAGAGATTGCTTTTAGTGATAAGGTCGCCTTTGCACATCTCTGTAATTATATTTTTTTAATGCACCATTTTCGTGTGCAATAGTGTTGTAAATAAAAAAAAACACGTGTGTTTGTACTCACGTATGTACGCACGTAAGAAATTATACTTCTTTGGCGTAGAAATTTCATCCCGTATATCACATTTTTCTGTTTGTAAAAGGCATGCAGCTAACTTCATAATGTCGTTTTTGGCTGTCAGTGTGCGCGCGCATCGTAAAAATTTTACTCTCATATTTTTTTCAAACGTGCGCAAAGTATAACTTCAAAATAAAAATGTTGCTAACAGTCAAGCCATTCTTAACTGAGCGCGATTGACAATAGATAGATAAAACTATCCTATGTTATTTCCAGGGTCTCAAACTATCTTCTTACCGAATTTCATCTAAATCTATCCAGTAGTTTCGGAGCCTATTCAGTACAAACAAACAAACCAACAAACAAACAAAATCTTTTCTTCCTCTTTACAATATTAGTATAGATTTTATAGCTGTTATAATTAATTTAAGCTCATGGTCAAAAAATTCACTTTTGACTGTTTTCAATTGGAACTTTATCATAAAAGTTAGTCCTGACCTTATCCTGAACTTACAACTTTATAGTCACTGGCATTATAATACATAAACCAATCATATGAATTAACGTTGGATTTGGGAAACCGAGTCAAGCAATTTATAAAAAAGTTGTTGGATAGATCATAGATGCTTCCATAGGTAGGTACTGAATAAATTAATCGACTTGGTTTTACATTCGATCTCACAACATTTTGCGGTAGAAGAACAACGTTGCGAGACTTGCATTTTTTTACATGTTATGTTTTTAATTGAAACGTTTAACAATATATTTTTTTTAATAGGGAAGAAAACCATTGTTTATTATCTATGACTTTTTATTAAATTTTACTAATAAAATATAATTAATCGTACGAGACTCGGATAGGTAACTGTTAAATTCTTAATTCTAAGGCACTTCGTACACAAGGCTACGCAAATGTTAGTTACCAGACGATTCAAGTCTCTAAGCGACTGCTGCAATTCAAACTCGTAGAGGTTCGTATGCAGGCATGTGTCTGATTTTTTGTTCATTCATCGCCGACACCAATGGTGCGATACCTGCTAGGCGAGATCGTCGCGTCGCTACAAACTGTAAAGTTTCGCTATTTTAATGTATAATAAAACGGTTATTAATTGATTATGCTGGCCACACTGACGACGCAAATGCTCAAATTACAGGTACCTTTATAAATCAGCCAGTTAAAAATCACGAGAATGGGCAGGCGGAAAAAAAAGAAATAAGAAAGAAATACAAATAAAAATGGAATGAGTAGAAAAATAAAAAAGGGGTATTGGTTGTCGGAGAGTTGACGTGGGTGGATGCTATAGATACGTGATTTTAACTGGAAAAAGGAAATAAGTATTAGTTGAGAATAAATCTTTTCTAATAAATTGTAGCTAAATCTTATAAAAATGTATAAGTTTTGGAACATGATGCTGGCTTTTTCTGAGATGTTTTACAAAACGTTGCTGCGATTTACTAAATGGCGGAGCAATTATTAAATAAATCGCATCACATAATTTGTTTATTGTACTTAATTCTTTTGCAGCAACAAACAGTCTGAACTTTAAATTTCTTTCTATATATGGATGAATCTATTATCTTTTATTACGACAAATTCTCCGCTTTCAGTAAAGACAGTATGCCAAAATTATAGATTCATCATCACTTGTGTCATACATTTTGTAAAATCGTGTGAGCCGTGCGTACCGTATAGCCACTACAACAATTCGACGAACAGACGACTCGCGTCTTGCGATTTCATGCCGTGTGTACGAACCATGCGCTACAAGATATTCACGACGTATAGATTTGCGTAGCCTTGTGTACGAAGTAATTTATCCTTATAATATATTATGTATATACAATTCATACAAATACAATCGCTATATAATAATAGAAAACAACAAAATGTGAAAATTTTGTTTTAGTATATTTGTGAGGGACCTACCACCAGCTCGGAGAGCAGTTCTGCTGTAAAGTGCTTAAGAGAAACCCAACAGTAGCTCTTTTAAATATCACTTTACAATATTTTTGACAAATATTAGCTACCCTGTATAGGAATTCAATTTATTTTAATCCCACACATTTTCTCTTACAAGAAAAAGAGTAGGTATTCTTTCTTTGGTAACATATTCTTAAGTGTACCTTTAAAATGTTGAAACATTTCAGTATATTTTTCTCCTCTGTTTGTCAACCGACTTTTCTTGTGTAGTAGCGTTAGTGACAATAAAAAAAATTGGAAACAGTTTTTTTTTAAAGAGATATGTAAATTCTATTCACATATGTTTTCCTAAAATGCCATTCCCAATTTTTTTTTATTTTATAATAGCAATGGCTATTGTAAACAGTCACATTTCTCTAAGAGGACAAGTATTTTTGTAATTGTAGGCAATTTTTTGCTGACTTTGAAGAAAGGAGATTCTCATCTCATGTTCTTCACGTGTACGTTACACAATATGTTTTCCAATTATAATGGAACGAATGGCCGCCCACTTCTTAAAGTCTGTTTTAATTATTTTTACAAATATGTAACAATTAATAATGTAGATCTTCAACATCCACGTATTCCACCTTAGCCGATGGCTGGTCGGCCTCTGCCGCGTGGTTCACGAACTCAAACTTCGTGTTCCTCTTCAGCTTCACAATTTCACTCCGCACCAGAATTAACACGTATATTTGAATAACTGAAATTAAATAATAATAAAAATTTATTGTATACCCAAAAAGAGAAGTAAATATACAAAATGGTAGAAAATTTTCGATTTCAAATATTATATGTAGCTTTGGCTTATTATTATTTAGTTACTTCTTGATAATTGGAATAGTACATGCATTTTATAAATCGACGTGAACTCGCAGTACTGTAGCATTTCTTTCAGGAAGTGAGAACGTCAGGGACCTACCTCATCTCTCCAATTCGGCAAGGGGTCTTCAGAAGGTAACCCCCCTAACCTCCTCATTTCCCTTCATTATTTTAGA